GTAAAATAACCTAGGGGGCCGAATAATAACATCATAAAAATACCAAGGGTTGTAAGACGAAATTACAAAATGTTTGGTTTGTATTTTCTTGGGTTATGTGTAATAGTATGAATATGATAGTTAAACCAATGGAATTCAAACAAAAATCTTTGCATATTGAAAATCGTCCAGACAACCCCAAAATCATGTTTTACCCGAAAAAAGGTTCTCAATAAATAGAGCTGGCAAATGACCATTTCTAAAAGCAAAATACAAAATATAATAACTAATTTAATATTTATTGAAGCACAAGGGCAATTTCTGATTTTTGGGTGAATCACAGGGACCAAAAGTGGAGTATTCTCTTAAACCAATTGAATTGAAATAGAGTTTATAGGGAAAGGGTGGAGTTAGAGAATCAAATCTGGGTAGCCAAGAAAAACAGTGTATGCTTAAACCAATGAGCTAAGGACTTAATAATAGAAAATTTACTATATTTTATATGTGAAGATCAGAAAACGGGGTGGCCATGACTCCCCATAGCCCCTGTTGTGTTCCACCTCTGTTTGTAATTGAAGTTTCAATATTCTAAAGGTACCCCAACAGTGAATGTAATGTGGCATGAAGCTTACCTATTTCGGTAGCCAAATCCTCCCGTGTAACATCTTCTGGATTTTGAGCCCGACCTTGACCCCTGGATCGACCTCTACCTCAATAAGCAAATAAGCTAAATAGATGAAACAATAAAAATATACATCATTATTAAATATTTACACTGGTTGAAATTTTATGAACATAAACCTCTGGTTTTTTTGGTAATGTAACCACCCACAATTCTATCCATGATATAGATCACAACAATCACTAATCTATAAAAATAGCTGTCATAGTATAACCCAAAAACTCTATGTTTACATAACAAGAGAAAATATGGATTAACAAAAACTTTGTCAAGATACAACACAAACATCAAAATAACACTTTATTACATTTTTCCTTTGCCTTTGTCTTGTGATGATAGATGACCTGCAAAACATATTAGTCCAATAGTTGAGCGTTAGACCAAAAGGTCTAGTGAGTGTATCTTTCTCATACAAATAGTATATATTTCAAAATCGAAGATTATAACAAACCTGAATCTTAATATATCATTTCATCACCCATCTATCGCGGTTACACCGCCAGTTCATCTATCGCGGTTATCAAACATTAAAGATTTTCTCTGAACAACTCTTTAGTCAGATAGATATAAAAATTGCCAACACTTTATCCGGATAATAATGAATCCGGTCAACTCTTTTTAGCCGGATAAGAAATCCGGATGACGTGATAATCGGATGGGAACGCGTATCCGGACAACATTATAACCGGACTAAGACGTATCCGAACGTTTCCGAACGGTGCTATGACCGTATCCGGACGACGCTATGACCGTATCCGGATGTTTCCGGACCGCGCTACAACCGTATCCAGATGGTTCACTAGCCGGACATGAACGGTTCCGGACGGCTCTATAGCTGGATAAGAACGAGTCCGGACGGTACTATGACCGGATGGAAACGTAATCCGGTCAACTCTTTAAGCAGATATAACTTTAGGTATTCATCAAAACTTAAACATAATCCAAATAAAACTTTTATTCAAAAAAGAGAAATTACTAAACACTCACCTTTGCCTTGAAGACTTGTTTTTGATTCCTTTTTCTGATTTTCCACATAAAGTAGAAATATGCTCTCAAAAATAGTAAAACCCTTCCCCTTTCACTTGTACTTGCTATTTATAGCAAGTACAACCAACTTTTGAAACCATAACTACACATTTGAGCAAAATTGAGAAAGAAAATGGGGGGGGGGGTGGTGCTTACCAGACACTTTCCCCCAATAAAATAATACACACACACACACATCACACACATAATTATTTGATTATCTGATAAATAAAACCGAATATTACAATATCCCCTCCGTAAAAGAATTAGGATATATCATTCACATTTCTGCCTCTGATTCCCAGGTGGCGTCTGCTCCTTTATGATAACGCCACTAAACCTTTACTAACCCAATCTCCTTATGCCGCAATTCCTTTATCTTGAAGTCAGTAATGGCTTTAGGGGTTTCTTCAGAACATAACTTCTCATCAATCTTAATTTCTGGTAGAGGCACAGCTATATCTGCATTTGCTAAATACTTCCTTAGATTTGACACATGAAAAGTGTTATGAATACCACTTAATTCCAAAGGAAGTTTTAGTTTGTATGCCACCTCTCCAACTATTTCAATGATAGGAAATGGTCCAATATGTCTTGGGCTTAACTTTCCTTTTTTAACAAAACATACTACTCATTTCCAATGTTATATTTTTAACATTACTTTATCACCAATTTGGAACTCAATTGGTTTTCGATGTTTATCGACATAACTTCTTTGCCGATCTTGTGTCACTTTCATTCGTTCTCGTATTTGGGAAAATTTATCCGCTGTTTGCTGTATTAGCTCAGGCCCAGCTAACTGTTTCTCACCTATCTCGTTCCAACATAAAGGATTTCGACACTTTCGTCCATACAGAACCTCAAAAGGTGCAGCTTGAATACTCGAATGGTAGCTATTATTGTAAGCGAATTCCACCAAAGCCAAATCATTATCCCATGATCCTCCAAAATCGATAACACAAGCTCTAAGCATATCTTCTAGTGTTTGAATAGTTCGTTCACTTTGTCCATCCGTTTGAAAATGATAAGCTGTACTTAGCTTAATTTGTGAACCCATCTCTCTTTGAAAACTCTTCCAAAACATAGAAGTGAATCGACCATCTCTAACGGAAATTATTGATAGGGTAACACAATGACGTGTCACTACCTCATCAATATACAATTTTTCCAATCTCTCCATTGAATATGATTCCTTCATTGGTAAGAAATGTGCAGATTTAGATAACCGATCTACAATCACCCATATGGCATCATAACCTTTCGATGTTTTTGGCAACTTGGTTATGAAATCCATAGTGATATGATCCCATTTCCAGACTGGAATTTCTAAAGAATGCAACTTACCATATGGACGTTGGTGTTCAATTTTCACCTGAAGACATGTCATGCACTGCTCAACATATTTGGCTAAAATTTTCTTCATGCCTGGCCACCAAGAGTATTGCTTCAGATCCGATACATTTTGTTTGTACCTGGGTGAATAGCAAAACATGATTTGTGAGCTTCACTTAGGATACGTTATATGAAATTACCATAACATGGTACCCAAATTCTGTTTTGAAAACTCCTAAATCCCCTGTCATTCTTTTCAAATTCAGATATCATTCCACCCAGTCTTTCTTGTTTAATTTTATTTTCCTTCATAGCTTCACATTGGAATTCTTGTAATTCTTCCTGGATACTCGGTAATAACTCAACTTTTAAAGCTATAGCCTTGATGGGTACCACTTTTCTCTCGACGGCTTAAATCATCAGCCACCATATTTGCTTTTCTTGGATGGTACAAAATTTCACAATCATAATCACTAACCAATTTCTAACCATCGTCTTTGGCGTATATTCAAATCTTTCTGATGGAACAAATGTTGTAGACTCTTATGATCTGTGAAAATTTGACTTTAGTCCCATATAAGTAGTGCCTCTATATCTTTAAAGCGAATACTACTGCTGCTAACTCCATATTATGAGTAGGATACTGCYTTTCATGATCTTTTAACTGTTTTGAAGCATAAGCAATTACCTTTCCACGTTGCATTAATACACAACCTAAGCCCATCTTCGATGCGTCACTATAAACCACAAAATCTTCCATTCCATCTGGCAAAGATAGAATTGGTGCACTGAATAACTTATCTTTTAACATTTGAAAGAGCTTGCACATCTTTCCACTCATACTTTACATTCTTTTTTGTCAATTTTGTTAAAGGGGTGGCTATACGAGAGAAGTCTTGTATAAACTTGCGATAATACCCAGTCAATCCAAGAAAACTTCTGATTTCTGTTGGGGTTTTCGGCGCTTCCCATTTTTCAATGGCTTCAATCTTAAGAGGATCTACTTTGATGGCCACTTCCGAAATAACATGACTTAGAAACTGAACCTCTCATAGCAAAATTCACATTTTGACATTTTAGCATACAACTTTTCTCGTTTCAGTAGTTCCAGGAGTAATCGTATATGGTGAGCATGCTCTTTTTCTGATCGAGAGTATATCAAAATATCATCAATAAAGAAATCACAAATTTGTCAAGATATGGATGACAAACCCTATTCATCATATTCATAAAGGCAGGCATAACCAAAAATTCATAGTGCCCATAACGTGTATGGAATGCTATTTTCGACACATTTTCATTCCGAATCTTCAATTGATGATAACTAGATTGTAAATCAATCTTTGAAAAATAAGTGGCCTCGACCAATTGATCAAACAAATCATCAATTCTCGGTAGAGGATACTTATTTTTGATTGTTAATTTATTCAATTCCCGGTAATCAATGCACATTCTCATTGATCCATCCTTTTTCTTCACGAACAGCCGCCACGAACCGCCACGAACCACCACCGCAAGGGCCCATCCTAGGCAAGACACCTTGGGTAGTGGAATCGACCATGCTCCCCAAGTGAATCTTGCCGTATCTAACCCCGTAATGGAAGAGGAAACCCCAGAGTCCAGAATGATGGGCACAGTGATGAATGCTATGAATAGAGCCATGGCCCAACAACAAGAGTTCTTTATGAAGTTACTGGAGGATAGAGACATTAACAATCGTAAGCATGAAGCGGTTGCCGAGAACGTGACTATTGTGGGATCTGGGGGTACCGAAAATGGAATTCCAACCCAGGAGTTAGCAACGATTAAGGCAAGACAAGTGGGAAGAGTTTGCTCCTACAAGACGTTTCTAAGTTGCAAACCGCCAGTATTTGTAGGGTCAGATGATCCCGTAGCATCCATGAACTGGCTTCGAGAGATCGAGTAAGCCTTCCGGGCTTGTGACTGTGATGAGGGATAAAAGGCAAAGTTTGGCTCTCAAATGCTAAGAGGTGCAACCCTTACCTGGTGGAACATTGTCATATCTACCCTAGAGACTACGGAGCTGGCCAAGATGAGTTGGGTCACGTTTAAAAAAAAGGTATTAGAGGAATATTGCAATGAGCAGGAGATGGACCGCATCGAAGAAGAGTTCCGAACCCTAAAGAAGGGAAACTTGTCGGTGAGGGACTACACACGACTCTTCATGGAAAAACTAAACTTGGTGGGGCATGTGGCCCCAACGGAGAAAGAAAAGATGAAGGCTTATTTAAAAGGGTTGCCCGCAGACATGATGGTAATGGTCAGGAATTCCAGGGCCTCCACCCTTAGAGAGGCAATCGAAGAGGAAAATATCATGGAGTCAGTGTACAGCAAAGTGAGAGTAGAGAAAACGGCTATCAGTGAAATAAGGAAGTGGGAATGTCACCATGCACTTTCCAAGAGACCAAACCATCTCAACAACAACAACAACCGTGGAGTTTATCCTAGACAAGAGGCCAAGTGGTGTCCCAAATGTCGCAGTAAACATCTCGGCCCATGCACCACTAACCCTAGTCCTGTAAAATGCTTTAAGTGCAGAAAGATAGGCCACACACGAAATGATTGTCCGATCAAAGGACCCATTTGTTTTGGATGCGGAGAGCCGGGTCATTTCAAAAATGATTGCCTGAAGTTAAAGGCAGGAGGGAGCCAGGGAAGAAAAGAAAATGCATCGAAAGCAGCCGGCCGAGCTTTCCAGATGACTGCTGAAGAAGCTAAGGCATCGACGGATGTAGTGTCGGGTACGTTCCTTGTTAACTCCATACCTGCACACGTACTTTTTGATTCAGGTGCTTCATGTTCCTTTGTGTCCACTACGTTCCGTCAACTTTTGCATGCGCCCCCTAGTGCTCTAGAAGATGCTTTGATCATAGAGTTAGCGAATGGTAGTCAAGTTCTGGTAAGCGAGATCGTTAGGAGTTGWKTGTTGGGAATTGAGGGAAAGGAATTTCGAGWRGATCTCATRCCCATGGCTATAGGCGGGTTCGATATCATAATTGGGATRGATTGGTTGGCAGGGAACCAAGAGGAGATTTTATGCTCTAAAAAGTTGATTCGAATCCCTCTGCCGGACGGGGACGCAATGCTAGTTTACGGAGAAGGAAGGAAAAGTAATGTAGCACTGTTATCCACGGCGAAAGCACGTAAATGTTTAGCTAAGGGATGCTCCTCGTTCATTGCATATGTGTTAGATACCAAACCAGAGAAAARAAGAATTGAARATGTGAAGGTAGTTAATGAATTTCYAGACTTGTTCCCTGAAGACTTACCCGGTCTACCACCYGCTAGACAAATAGAATTTCGAATCGACCTTATTCYGGGAACCGCTCCGCTTGCTAGAKCCCCTTACCRTTTGGCTCYGGCCGAGATGCAGGAGCTAATGTCTCAGCTACAAGATCTGCTTGAGAAAGGATTCGTGAGACCCAGTTCGTCACCGTGGGGAGCTCMAGTCYTATTTGTTAAGAAGAAGGAYGACACCATGAGAATGTGTATAGACTATYGTGAACTCAATAAAGTAACCGTGAARAACAAATATCCTCTCCCTAGAATCGACGATCTTTTTGACCAACTCCAGGGAGCGAGTTGCTTCTCAAAGATTGATCTTCGTTYWGGATACYACCAAGTACGAGTAAAAGAAGATGATRTGRCAAAGACAGCTTTTAGGACGCGATATGGACACTACGAATTCTTGGTTATGCCCTTCGGATTGACGAACGCGCCGACAATATTCATGAACTTGATGAACCGAGTGTGCCGACCGTTTCTCGACGAGTCCGTAATAGTGTTCATTGATGACATACTCATTTATTCCAAGAACGAGACGGATCATRAACAACATCTTCGGGAAGTTCTCGAAATGTTAAGGAGGGATAAATTATATGTAAAATTCTCCAAGTGCGATTTTTGGCTAAAAGAAGTTCAATTCTTGGGTCACGTAGTCACTGAAGATGGAGTGAAGGTGGACCCATCCAAAATTGAGGCGGTAATGAATTGGGAACCGCCAAAGAGTCCTTCAGAGATCCGAAGTTTCTTGGGTCTAGCAGGTTATTAGAGGAGATTTTTCCAAGATTTCTTCAAGATTGCTTCTTCCTTAACGGCGTGACTAGGAAGAATGTGAAGTTTAACTGGACTGAGAAGCAAGAACATGCCTTCAGAACCCTCCAAAGGAAATTATGTGAAGCCTCGGTCCTCTCCTTGCCAAAAGGGTTCGAAGACTTCGTAGTTTTTAGCGACGCTTCTAAAATGGGATTGGGTTGTGTCTTGATGCAAAGGGGAAAAGTAATAGCTTACGCATCTAGACAACTCAAAGATCACGAGAAGGATTATCCCACCCACGACTTGGAGCTAGCAGCAGTGGTATTCACCTTAAAGAATTGGCGGCATTACCTCTATGGTACCAAGTGCACGCTTTTCACTGATCACAAAAGTTTGAAGTATATTTTCGACCAAAAAGAGCTAAACATGAGGCAACGACGTTGGCTCAAACTACTCAAAGACTACGATTGTGAGTTACGGTACCACCCGGGTAAGGCGAATGTAGTGGTGGATGCTTTGAGCCGAAAGAAGTACGGTAGTGGAACGAAAGCCGTGCTTACCAGGATTGATGTAATGTCCAGTCTGATCGATCGGATCAAGGTGGCACAGTCTGAAGCGCTTTTGGAAAAAAACCTCAAGAGCGAGATTATGGTGAAACAACACATACTTCTTACAGAGGATGGTCGTGGTTTTAAGTTGTTTCAAGGTCGTATATGGGTACCCAAGGTTGGGGGAAATCGTGAACTATTACTAGAAGATGCGTACAAGTCCAAATACTCCATTCACCCGGGTAGCACCAAGATGTACCGAGATTTGAAATTGACATATTGGTGGCCTGTTATGAAACTGGATGTGGCTCGTTATGTAGAGAGGTGCGTGACATGTTTTCAAGTGAAAGCATAGCACCAACGACCATATGGAAGCCTCCAATCCTTGGAGATTCCCGAATGGAAGTGGGAACATATTACGATGGACTTCGTGACCAAACTGCCGAAAACCTTAAGAAACCATGATACGATTTGGGTAGTGGTTGATTGGCTGACAAAGAGCGCTCACTTCTTAGCAATGCGTGAAACGTTGCCCATGGAGAAGCTTGCCAAGTTATACATCGACGAAGTAGTCTCAAGACACGGTATACCGTTGTCAATAATATCAGACCGAGATAGCCGATTCACATCCCATTTCTGGAGCGGCTTACAGAAAGAGTTAGGAACAAGGGTGAAGTTGAGTACAACTTACCATCCTCAAACCGATGGTCAGAGCGAGAGAACCATTCAAACTCTTGAGGATATGCTTAGGTCGTGTGTTATCGACTTTGGCGGGAATTGGGATTCTCACCTACCCTTAGTGGAATTCCCCTACAATAATAGTTATCATTCCAGTATCGGGATGGCACCTTTTGAAGCCTTGTATGGATGAAAATGTAGGACTCCAGTATGTTGGTTAGAAGCGGGAGAGAAACAATTCGCCGGTCCCGAGATCGTGCAGGAAACGGCCGACAGGGTGAAGTGTATTCGAGAGCGCTTAAAGGTGGCTCAGGATCGACAAAAGAGTTACGCTGATAAGAGGAGCCGACCTATAGAATTCCAAGTGGGTGACCGTGTTTTGCTAAAGGTATCTCCCTAGAAAGGCGTTATCCGTTTTGGAAAGTGTGGTAAACTCAGTCCCCGTTTCCTCGGACTGTTTAAAGTCTTGGCAAGGGTGGGACGTTAAGCTTATAAGCTAGAACTACCACCAAAAATGGCAGGAATCCATAACACATTCCATGTGTGTTACCTTCGTAAATGCTTAGCGGAAGAAGAAAGTGTGATCCCACTTTCAAAGATTCGTGTGGATGAAAACAATAGTTGTGCTGAAGAACCGGAAGCCATCTTAGAAAGGAAGATCAAAGTGTTGAGGCACAAAGAAATTGTCATGGTTAAGGTGCAATGGAAACTTCACCGAGGGTCAAACGTCACCTGGGAAGCGAAAGAAGTCTTGAAGAGGCGTTACCCGCACCTTGTCTCTTAAAACTAAATTTCGAGGGCGAAATTTATCCCAAGGTGGGAAGGATTGTAACATCTAGTTTTTTTTCTCTTTTGAGCCTTTTATTTACTTATTATAAGTTTTCCTCTAGTTTAATTTTAAATATTAGGAAGAAGGGGGGGTAGCTCTGCTGCTATCTTCTACCCTACTTTGTAGACTTTCATTACCCTTGAAAAAGAAAGAAAAGAAAAAGGGGTTAACCCTCTTACCTGTAGGTCCTTGTTATTGTTTATGGATAAGGAAAGAAAGTAGATGGGAGGGTGTGGAAGACTGTGATGAAGGGATGTGGCCAAAAAGGAAATAATCCTYGTGTTGGACATCAAAACGSCCGGAGCTGACCCTTATCGTYGCCCATTAACCACCTGCACYTTCARCCGTGCCTGTCTAAGCTCCAGCCATCTTCASAGCTAGGAAGATCAAGCAACCTTGCTGTGCCGGTTCTCTTCATCTCGCCCGCAAAGCTCCARACARCAAGCAGCCRGTGCAGCCTTGCTGCGCTGCTTCTTCGTTTTCCATCGCACGCCAGCCGTGCCSCTGCCTCGTGCCACCAACCTCGTCTGCTGCCTTGCACCTGCAAGTCAAGAGGTGCTGTTTTGTGTCTTCGTCTTTGCCCGATCAGCAGCTTGCTGTGCYRTTCGCCRTCGCGCTAAAACCAGCAGCTGCTGMTGCRTTTTCTGAGTTTTCTCGACCACGATCAGCAGCTGTTTGCGTCCCCTCTGTGTCTCGCYGAAGCTGCAGCARCAGGTGCAATCMGCGTGTTCTGCCACCTCTCRGACYATCAACTGCAGCAGGTGCAGTCCGCACATCCTGGCATCTCTCGGACCTCAAACAGCAACATCAGGCAGCGGTTCTGMCGTGCTGTTTCTCCRCCTCCGTTAGCCCAAACAGCAGMCGCTTCCTCRCCACCGCTCAACGRACAGCAAGCAGCTGTCRTGGCTGTTCCGTGTCYGCCGTGGTCTGCTCGCACACAGCTGCTGCTGTGTTTACCGACTGTGAGTTCAACCTTTTTTCCYTTCACGAAAACTTATACTAATTGAAAGGATGTACATTACTTGCTTTATACCTTAATGTTACGAAATTCCTTGTTTGGTTGAAATGGAGACTTTYAGGTCAAAAGAAGTGAACTTAGAGACCTTGTTTATAATGAAAAGATAGAGGTTGGAGAAAATGGTTTCGATCATTTGGTAAATTACTCATTTCAAAATATCGTTGGCCATAAGACTCAAACACTCTCATGTTCTACATTTGAAGTTCTTTGTTAGCAAAGGGGAACATTTCATRTGATTAAAGGGCTTATGCATAACCTTAGTGAGGAATAGAGGTTTATATGCTTAAGATAACGTAATTATGCATATCACTAGGATGTAATGGGATTATAGGCTTGGATGTCGTTTTATTTCGTTCGTGAGAACGATGGTGTAAGTTGGAAATAGACATTGCGATCATTATGTAAATTCCAAATCATCTTCTCACTTCCACTCGGAAATAGGCATTGTGATTATTGTGTAATTTCTGAGATAAAGAGCTTATAATCACGGTCGACTACATGACTGGTTTAGGTTGATATCGATGGTTTTATACCGGTAAGTGATGCTCTATAACATTGATCTATGACTTACTTTGTGTTCCGTCATAATTAATGGTAAATCAGGTCTCCCCCATCATCTTCGAATGTTTGACTCCACCCCGGGCAAATCAGAACTTTCATGTCTATTCGTACCGTTTAAAATTTACGTCATGCATTTATTTATATTTTTTTATGCATAAGTGGTTACGGATTCATTTGCTCACGTTTTGAACTCACTAGGCGTACGCCTAACACTTCTTCTTGATATGGCTTGTATACTAGGTTCCTTTAGCGGCAAAGCTAAGAAAGGTTGAAAGGAGCGTTATTTTTCGATGAAGGGACCCTTTTGTAGTTATGGCCTCGTTTTGTTGAGCGTTGTAATCTTTTGATGTTGCGGTATTTTTGGAGTTTGATAGAAACACCCGTCTATAATCTAGTCATAGAATAGTCTAGATTAGTAGGTTGTTATTTATCTTTTCAGTAATTGAAATGTAAACGCTACACTTTTGCCCTATTGTCGGGTGTATTTTATGCCAAGTTCTTGTTTTCGTTTGATATTTTTATTTTGTTGTAAAATTAAATTTCGAGGGCGTTACAAGTTGGTATCAGAGCGCTGGTTTAAGTGAACTAGGTATAGGATTTAGATGCCTAGACTTAATGTGAATTTGTAAGTGTTAATTCGTGTGTGGTGGGTAGATCTTTTAAGGTAGAAGAGTTGTAGAGTCAATGGAGTCGCATAATTCATGAAAAGTGACGATGGTGTTGAGAATTCTTACGTATAACCTATTCAAAATTTCACTTAGCTAATGCTATGTTGAACAAGTTGTTACATAAGTGTGCTTGAACTCAATGTTATTACAAGAAGTTATGTTTGTGACAGTGCCGTATTACGTTAGTACTGTAATCCTTCTCTCCTAACTCCCTTTTCACGTGCTTGTTTGGCAGAATGGAATGGTGAATACTCAGAGTAGGCGACACACGTCACCGAAAGGTCAAGCGGTGACTGAATCTACCGCAGATCAGCCGCTACGAACCACCACCACAAGGGCCCATCCTAGGCAAGACACCTTGGGAGGTGGAATCGACCATGCTCCCCAAGTGAATCTTGCCGTCTCTAACACCGTAATGGAAGATGAAACCTCGGAGTCCAGAATGATGGGCATAGTGATGGATGCTATGAATAGAGCCATGGCCCAACAACAAGAGTTCTTTATGAAGTTACTGGAGGATAGAGACATTAACAATCGTAAGCATGAAGCGGTTGCC